TCTACTAAATGGGATGCCTGTTTCTTAAAGCCAGAGCTAGGGCAGATAATTCTGACACAAGACCCAAGGAGAATCTCACCAGCTGCAGTTGTTCTGGATCTCCTTGAGGCATTTTACATTGGTTAATGAAGCAAGTAAAAACTAAGTACAAAAGCAGTTAGGAATAATTTGCTTGCTGTGCATGCCGCACTGGAATGAAGTCCTGGGAGTACACTGCAGCTGAAAATTAAGTAGGGGGTCTTTTACTCTGCAGGGACATGTCAGAGGCACTGTGTGGTGCTTTAACAGAGCAGTAACAAACCAACACTGCATCCATTACCACTCATCTGTACACCTTGGCCTTTTGGAACTCACAGTGATAGAAACTTCTCCTGTTGCAAAAGTTTAAATTTTTACTACTTGAGCTTAAGGGTAATTGCTAGCCGCACTGAACCTATGTGATGTAGTTAATTCCATCCAGTATAGACAGGCCTGCTGACAGGGAGGAAACAAGGATAGCAATTGCCCTGGGGCCCAGCGATTCAAAAGTTGCCATGGCCAGAGCCCTGGGCCCTTTAAATTGCTGCCAAAGCCCCACACAGCATGATGCAGAGCCCTGTACAGTGTGTGTGGGAGGGTACCCAGTCTGGATAGCACTGAGGGCTGACTGCCCTGGTCATACCCCTTTTGCTCAAGGCCCAACCCCTTCTGGGAGCACAGAGCTGCTCCCATACACCTTGTCCAAAGGCCCCACAAATCTCTCGGCTCACCTGAGTATAGAGAAGTGGTAAACTTATATAATAGCCAGTTCATTACAAGGTCATGCTCCTGACACAGCAGGGGGTACAGATTAGTTTGAAATTAGTAGTATGGTAGTATCATCATTAAATGGAGCTCAGAAATATCCTTACAGTGGTAAGGATCCTAGCCAAAAAGGTAATAGACTGAGAATGTAGCAAGAATTAATATGCACACAAAGAAATTTGGCTCTGGAATCAGCATTAGCAGCCTTTCCTCCTACAGAAGAGCCAGATTTACAAAAGGCAAGAACTGAGCTACCTACCTGTTGTTGTATATTTGATCTTCCAACCAGTGTGGTCCCCGGAGATATCGGTCGAGAAAGTAATATCCACAGCATTGCTGCCTGTCTCAATTTTTGGAGGAACATTCTGTCCACAGAATGGACCATATTCCTTTTTGGGTGTTTTAATCTGAAACAGTGAGAAGAGTCAGACAGCCATACTTCATCCATTCCAGCACACTCAAATCAGCTAAGGAGCATACAGCTTGACTTCAATATGACACCCAGGTAAGGATCGTTCAGACCTCTAGCTGTGGCTCTCAATTATGTTAACTGTTCAATAGAAACAAAGCTTTAGTTACTTTGATGGATGGCAAGTCCTCAATAATTGCATATCAAGCATCGGTGTTCAGTGTAATCTGTGCACTTGTGTGGCTGCTCAGGAGAGATTCCAATGCCATCCAGCTGATTAGCAGAGTTCTCACAGCTAGATTTTTTTTTCTACAGGTGGTGCACATTAAAAATGTTATACTGCACATGGATGGGCAAAATCCACACAGATGGAAAAAGTTGAAAGGGAACATTATTAAGCACTTTTCATCAGAGTATCTCAAAGTGTTTCAGAAATATTAAGCCTTACAATAGCCTCATGAGATAGGTATAATGTCTATTTCGCTGGCAGGCAAGCACTGCTATAAGAGGTTAAGTCACCTGCTTGAGATTTACACACTAAATTAAGGGCAGAGCTTAGAAAAGAAGTCAAGAATCTTGCTTCCCAGTCGCCTTATGGACTGTTTTGTTTTTGGTGACATTCCCAAAAAAGGAGGCGTCACAGGGCAAGGGATAAAGGGTACAAATTGAAGAAAGTGCAGCAAATGAAGAAAGTGGGCCCTGCACCGAAGCTGGGATGAAAAACAATGAGATTCAACAGACCTTAAGGGTGTCATAGGGACACGTTGCTTCTGTGTGACTTTCCACGTTAAAGGTTTCCACAAACTCCAGAATGATCATGAAGCCATCTTCCACCCGGATGCTGTAGCTGCAGGTGGAGAGTTTGGGATAAGGCTTGGGATAATTGGGGCTGGTGATCTCTCCAGATCTCTTAGTAAAAGCACTGTTTTGACACTGAGCTAGAAGGAGAAAAACAAAAATGGTAACAGTGATGGCCATTTCTTATGGAGCTACCTCTCCTCACAGAGCAGAGATTGCAGGTATCTTCTACTCTAGCCTGTCTTCTGGAGAATAGTTTTTAGATTGTTGTTTAGGACACAAAGGAAGCAAATTGAGAGGTGGGGTGTCTTACAGATCTCCCTACTCTGCATTTGTCCCCCTCGCTAAAGTCCCTTGCTTTATCATATTGGGCATCGTTCGAGGCCCAGCACCAAACACCAGCTCTGTATAAAAGATACCTAAATGCAGTGGGAAGAAAAGGAGCCAGAACCTTAAGAGCCAGGGTGTTGCAGATCAGAGGCAATGGTATGGCTCTGTGGAACCAGCCTGGCTGTCTGGGGAATATTAGAATGCAACAGAGCTGGGATGCAGGCAGGCGTGAAATAGAGCCTGCATGTCAGATCTGTGATGCCCCAGCAGCACTGTAAGCTGCTAACCGTGGCTTTCCTACTGTAACCAGACTGTGCATGGTTCTAGTCAAAGCTATCAATCCCTCACTTCCAGAAGCCTCGAGATACATCTCAGCCTTCTTCCTTTGCCAGAGATTTAAGACATTTCATACTCTGGGCAAAACCAGCTGTGCCTCTTGGCGCCACAATGTTTCCTGCTTAAGAGAGACAGGGAAGAACAACCACAAGGCTCTCTGCTTGCTGATTGCTGTGAAGTGGTGCTTTATCAGCTGGGCACCAAAGCCTTATGATGTGCTGCCAAGAGTTGGATGAGCAGCTTCCTTTAATTAATAGGGAGTGATGGACCAGTTGCCAAATTTGGCATATTGTTCTGTCTATTGCACCACTGGTAAAGCTAAATTAATTATAAAATGGAAAACTGTTTAGCTTTTTAAACATCTCCTTAGGGCTACCATGCTAATTCCTGTCAACAAAAATGCCATCACGCACACATTGTTAAAATGCTGTAAAACAGAACTTTCCTATGGGTTGCATTGTGTGTTGTCTATGTAGAGGTCAAGCTTTTCAGGGTAGGGACAGTGTCTTGTATGGCGCAGAGCATGTTTGTGGCATGATTCTCAGGTTTCCTATGGTAAAACTGTGGCCACCTTTTATTTTAGAGAATTAAACTTGTCCTCACCTGATCCTCAATTCTACAACAATCCAGTCTGATTTAAATTGTAAGCTCTTGGTGGCAGAGAGAATTTTTTGTTGTATGTTTGAACAGTGCCCAGACTACCAGCGCTACTACAACACGACACACTAACACACTTGGGCTCTGCTTACCTTTCTTTTAAAGCAGCAGCACTCTTCCAGAGCAAGCTGAAATTTCACAGACCCACAACTCTGACCACCTGCTTTGGGGCAGCTCTGAACAACCACTTTTACTCAACACAAACCTCTCCATGACCACAGTGCTGAATGTCAAAGAGCATTGCATTTCAAATCCCCAAAGCAGCCACCTTGTCATCCAAACATCAGATAAGATACAAATTAAACTTAAGAAATAACAAATAGTCTGGTAGCACTTTATGGACTAACAAAACATGTAGATGGTATCATGAGCTTTCGTAAGCACAGCTCACTTCTTCAGATGACAGGAGTTTTGAGTTTAGGCTGTGCAGACCCAAAATAAATAGGGCAGAGTGGGGGAGGAAAAAAATGGAAGGGGGTGGGAAACAAGAAGCAGAGGGTATGTAAATATCAAAGGGAAACCAAACAGGCAAAACTGGTAATCTATAAGCACCTAAAAACTGGATAGTTAAAAGAAACAGATAAGGATCATAGGATAGCAATTAGAGAGGAAGGGTACTAAATTCTCACACCTATGGCCTCAATGAGATAATGGATGGCTGGGACATTATCAACCAAACAAACAATGAAGGTGCCAACAGCTCTTTGTCTGCGTAGATTAGTACCCTTCCTCTCTAACTTCTATCCTATGATCCTTATCTGCTTCTTTTAACTATCCAATTTTTAGGTACTTATAGATTACCAGTTTTGCCTGTTTAGTTTTTCCTTTGATATTTACATACCCTCTGCTTCTTGTTTCCCACCCCCTTTCATTTGTTTCCTTCCCCCCTTTCCCTTCTCCCCTATTTATTTTGGGTTTGGATATCCTAAACTCAAAACTTCTGTCATCTGAAGAAGTGGGTTGTGCCCACAAAAGCTCATGATACCATCTACATGTTTTGTTAGTCTATAAACTGCTACCAGACTATTTGTTGTTTTTTAAGTTTATCCTGTACAGACTAACTCAGCAACCCCTGAAGCTTCTGAAATACAGATTGTTAAGCTTTCTGCTTTGTTTAATAGCAAGCTCCTCCGTTGTGGAATCTGACCACACTCTCAATTTTAAAGTCCTGGCCAAAGTGCCTGTCCCTACTGCAGAGTGCATTGGCTTTTGGCCTGAAGGAGTGAGAAAATTCTTTGGTGCAGTGAAATTCCAGGTGTTTGTCAGGTGACTCTGACCTTGCAGCCGGCACTGCTCACTTCATTTCTGTAGCTGGTGTAAAGGAATCAGCTGAGCTATGTGGGACGTTGACAAAATCCCTTTCAAACCACGTGAGGAGAATTGGCAATTGTTTTTTTTCTTTCAGTCACTGCTACATTTTCCTCCACTAAATGGATGGCTCTGTAATTCTATGGTCTGTGCCTTAAATGTACTGAAGTCTTTGGTGACTATTAGAGAGAAAGCTAGGGCCTCATTGTGCTATTAATCTTCTCTGATAGGCATTCCAGAGCCAGTGATGGTGTTGCTTACAGTATCGATTAGGAGATTTTGGGTCCCTGCTTTGCCCTGAGGAGCTTGGTGGAAAGCAGAACAATCACACCCTCGCTTCTATCCATTGCGGGGCCAGAACAAGAAGAAAGTCCTAGTCAATACAAAACTGTAACTGCTTCCTGGCACCAAACCAGGCAGTGGAAAATTGCTTGCTTTCCAAATACTACATTTCCCTTGGCTCACAAGAGGCTGGGCTAATCCTATCATCCTTTTTTGGGATCATAAAACAGGTGGGAGCCAAGGTGCAGTACCCTTCTCACCTGGATAAAGAGAGGACATATGTGCTAGTACCAAAGATCCAGTACTGTATTGATACAAACCTTGACCGACGTCTTGCAGCTACCGCATGAATTAGAAGTACTCATGGAGGAAAAAGGTTGGTGACAGGAAGAGGAGCAAAGGGGGGGCAAAGTGCCTCTGGTGCTCCACACCACCGTTACTGCAGCAGCAGGGGTGGCCAAAGCCCTGGACTCTTTAAATCTCCCTCAGAGCCCCAGGCAGCACTGGGGGCTGACTGCGGGAGGCACAGTGCGATTCAGATGGCGCTGAGGGCTGACTGCCCCTAGGCCTGCCCTTCTGACAAGGCTCTTCCCCCTTCTGAGGTGGCCTGAGAGCCAAGCTCTCCCCCCTCCACATTGCCTAGGGCCTAGAGAAATCCATCTCCAGCTCTGCGTGGAGTCGAGAGTGTGGGCCTGAGCCATCTCTGTTAACAATGACCTCTGTGCTAGGCTACTTAATCTTGGCGGCCATTTATTATATATGAGAAATTATAAACTACATTTACTGTAAATATATTTAGAGTATATTTATAATACTGGGGTTCATTAAAGAAGAGATAATGGGACTATATGATAGAGTTATCTAAGATAAATATTTCAGCAGAGGTCAGTCGAGCTCCTTTAATTTGTGTATATATAATCTATCACCATGGTATCCAAAAACTATTTACTTTATCTTATAATACAAGAACAAAGCAATGCCCGCATAAAATTAAAGACCAAGAAATTTAAAATCTCACATAAGGGAATACTTTTTTAAAAAATGCTGCATATAATTAGCCTTTGGAACTTGCTACCACACAATGTTAATAAAACTAAGATTTTAATAGGATAAAAGCAACAATTACAGTTGCACTGCCTAGGATCAAAATTTCTAAGGGAGATCAACACAGGACATAAGGCAGCCCTATCAGTTGTCCAGGGTTGGGAAGGAATGTCCCACAGAGGTGTATTTCAGAACTGTTGATTATGAGGGATTTATACCATTCTCTGAAGCGTTTGGAAGTGACCATTGTCAGAGACCAAGCACTGGACTAAATATACCATGGATCTGATTCATTAAGGAAATTCCTATTCCAGAATTGCCCAAAAGCTTTTAATCTAATTCAGCACAAAGAACGTGTTTGTGAATAAGCTTTTTGGGGCAGGCAAGGTCTATTTGCATTGTTTGTACAGCACTTAGTACAATGAGGTCCTGGTTTGTGACTGGGATCTTTAGATGCTGCCACAGTATCAACCAGAAGAGGGGATTGCAGACATTTCACTAATTCAGAAAATGGGTCCTTTGTTGTAAACCCTATTCTGAAGGACAAAGATGGAGGCCAATTCATTCTTCATGCTCTCTTATAACTGGCTCCTTGGAGCCTAAAGCAGTGTTTCCCAAATGGTGTTCCATGAAGTAAAAATAAGGGTTCTGCGAGAAAATTCCATTAAAGTAACATGTTATGATTTTAAAAAAACTATGTGATTTTTGTTTTTAAACGTGCAATTAAAATAAATGTTGATCTCATGACCTTGTTTAGCATTGGTTTACTTATCTGTGGACTACTTTTTCAGCTCCATATATTAGACTGTTATTAGGGGTTCCGCAAAAATTCTTTCCAGTTCAAAAGGGTTCCGTAGTCAAATAAAATTGGGAAACACTGGCCTAGAGTGTCTATTGAGACTCATTGTTGGTGGTGGTTTTGCAATACGACAGTTTAGGTACATGTGAGCAGACACCAATAAACCCTCTTGGTGTATAGCTACAAGCAGCTGCTCAAGCCAGATGACCAGATACCTCATGCCAGACCAAGGGATTTGCAGCTTGAAGATGAAACACTTTAGGACCAGCTCTACTTTTCTATTCAATATCTCCTGGATGTGGCTATCGGGAGCTGCCTTTGAAAGGGGCTGTATTTTTACTTCATGGATCTCATAAACTAGTCAGCACAAAAAGAATGAAATAATTTTCAAAGAAGCTCTTGGCAGTAATGCAGCGCCCCGGTTTCTCAGACCAACCTTTAGAGCTGCCCAGAGAGTGCTCAATTATACTTAGCCCATATTTTTATTAGAATCACAGCGAGCTGTTCGCTGGAGACTTGAACTCTGAAAAACGAGCCCCTCTAAACCTGTGAGCTCAGTACCGCTGGCTCATTAGTTTTCCAACAAGCAGTGGGCCGTAAATCGCGCCACTGAGCCACCAGAAAACCTCAAGCAGCTCTAAGCACAGAAGCCAACAGAGCTACTGTGAGCAGGATGCAGCCTTCAAGATAAGATCAAGAACATCAGGACAGAGCCTTCATACCCAGGAAAGAGCTAGTCCGTCTGAGATGGCCTCAATCAGGATGAGGAATGGCTGGGACATTACCAACCTAACATTCAATGAAGGTGCAAACAGTTCTTTGTGTAGATTCTTAGTACCCTCCCTATCTATTGCCCTTGAGCCTTATCTGCTTCATTTTAACTATCCAATCTTCAGGTGCTTACTGATTGCCTGTTCTGCCCTCCTGTTTTTCCCTTTGATATTTCCATAACCTCTGCTTCTTGTCCCCCCCCTCCTTTTTTTTCCTTCCCCACCCTCTCCCTTATTTTGGGTCTGCACATCCTAAACTCAAAACTCCGGTCATCTGAAGAAGTGGGATGTGCCCACGAAAGGTCATGATACCCTCTGTATGTTTTGCTAGTCTATAAAGTGCAACCAGACCAGTATTTGTTTTTTAAGTTTATACTGTGATCTTTGTCTGGGTTTGAATATAGCAGTCATCATCAGAATATTTAAGTGCTTCACAATCATGGGGGAGGGGGAGAAATGAGTTATCCTGACAACACCCTATGAGGTAGGAAAGTGGTATTGTTCCCATTTTACAGATGGGGGACGGAGGCACAGATTAAGTGACTTGACAAGTGTGACACAGGAACTGAGCCCAGGTCTCCTAAGTCTGCATCTGATGCCCTATTAGACCAGTAATCAACCAGCAGGCCAGGTGCAGTTCACCAGAGTTAGACATTGGTGGGCCCGCTGGTGCCTTATTTACACGTGCCTCTGAAGATACAGACGCGCCTGTTGGCCACAGATCAGATCTCCCAGCCAATGGGAGTGGCAGGAAGCAGCATGGATCAGGATACTGCTCCCTGCAGCTCCCATTGGCTGGGAATAGCAATCTGAGACCAACGGGTGCTGCTAGCGGTCATACCTGCAAAGGCCTGGGTAAATAAAATACTGGTGGTCCACCAGGGGCTAACATTGGCAAGTGTGTCCATCTTATTGCCCACCCCTGTATTAGACCATCTTTCCTCCCAGTCTTCCCTGGGAACAGGGTTTTGGGGTATGAGGGAACTGAGCATAGACAAGCAGAGACTGGGATAGAGAGACTGAGCCTTGTTTTAAGATACTCACTTCTTTTTTTTAAACTTCAGCAGTGAAGAGGCTCCACAGCTATTAAACTATCTTTAGGCTCCTTAATTTGCTGAGGTTTTTTAATTTAAAGCTTGGATTTATCTTCAGGGGGATTTTTCCTGGGGTCTTTCAGCTCTGCTAGTGGATGTCCCACTTGCAGCCAGAAAACAGGGCCTGGAACATTGCCAGTGAATACCCTCCCTAGGGTGACCTAGCCAGCCCCTGGATTAGCATGAAATAGGAAAGGGGAGGCATGGACGGATGCTATGGTCTGAACTTCAGGAGTTAACCTGGCCACATATAAAGAAGGAAATGGGCACTGGATGGAGCCACTTACTTAAATCCATCTCTTCACTCTGCTGTTTCCAGGATTCTCTCTTTGTCAGTGGCAGACAGAGGACATGTGGCAGCATAGGAGACGTTCTAGTGCAACTGAGCTGCCTTGTGGCTAGATTTGGAGCTCTTTGTCAGGCAAGAGATGGGGCTCCCTTTTCACTTGGCGCCCAGAGACTTTACAGAGGGTTCACCACATTGCACCATTACAACGGGGTGGGGTTTCCAGTGGGATAAGTGGCTAAATTTATAGAATTTGGATCCAGATTCAGAGCATCCTATGGTGTCGGCATGCTCAGAATGGGGGATTTTGGGCTCATCTGAAAACGAGCATGAGTCTGAGTTCTTTGAGTCTGAACAGGGTTGAACTTACCGAGCGTTCAAAGAGGGGAATGTTCAGGCCCTGCTCTAGTTGCAGCACTTTGATCAATCAAGCAAGCAAAGCCATGTGATTAAGACCCGAGGCAGTCCCCTCTCCAGCTAGCTGTCCTGCCAACAGGCCCCCTTAGGACAGCTCTCTCTTATCAGCCTCTGCCTTATCTGCCGTCTCCCTTCCTCAGCAGCACAGGGCAATGCAAAGCAATGAAGGGAAGGCTGCAGTTGAATGTAGGAACAGGAAAGGCATTTTATTGTCTGCAGGAGGCCAGTCTGGAAGGAAGGAAACAGACATGCACAAGTCAGTAATCAAGCAAGCAAGAGGAACTTAGGGCTCCCTGTCTGACTGTGACCTGCAGCAATGGGCAGGTCAGGAAGAAGGGCGAACCAACTCTTCCTGGCACGTGTGTCTTGATCTCTGCCTATGCGAGGAGAAGCTTAATTATCTCACACTGGAAAATAAAGGACAAAAAAGAATGAATTAATAAGGCAGCAGCCAGCATCAGCCTTCCCAGGTCGGAGCCAAAAACTCAAAGGACAGCTTCAGCAGTCAGCATGCTTCCATACAGACCGTGGGGAATGAGCTCAGCACTTGTCATTTTAAATCAAGATGGGAGACTTGTTTTAAAACAACCAACAAACCCAGCCCTCCCAGTCTGCTACAACCCCCAATGAGGGGAAGAGAAAAGGGAACTGGGGCAGGAGTTAACGGTGCCCTAGAGAAACATCTGAGTTACAGAGACGAGCTCCTGAATGAGACCCAAACACCCCCACAGTGTAGGGGTGTTTGCAATGGACTGGGAGCTAGATCCAGAGACAGGCTCCAGTTTCAGAGGTGAGATCTAAATCCACAGCCAGAGAAGGAGGGCCCGCTGCGTCCATCCACACCAGCATCAGCAGAGCACCAAGCGGCCTTGCTTCTCCCCGTGTGCAGCTCCTGGTCAGTGAAGCACACACGTGCCACGACTCTGGCACCAGGAGTCTGAACACGTTTGGCTACAGGCAGAATGCAGCCTGAGGTGTTGATCTTTGCACCGATTCAGACAGACAATCGCTCCTTATTGTCCAGTAAGCCTTCCACCAGTGCATGTAAGAAGCAGGAGAGAGAGCCAGCCACCGGCTTGGGTAAGCCCTGCCATGGATCCCCTCAGGGAAGGGGAGCTATGCCTGGCCCCCATGCCTATTTGGGGTTGGGTTTCTAAGGCCAGTGTCAATTGCATGAGAATTCTCCTAGGCACCAGGTAACATTATTTCTAGTTGAGCTGGGAATCCACTGTCACTCATCAGCAGATAGTTCCTCCTCAAAGCAGCCCTGAGCTCAGGTCTGGAAGTGCCATCAGACTCAAAGTATTATCCATCATTGCTGTGCTCCGAAGGGAGGGGTGATGGCCGCAGGGGCAAAGCTGGCAGCCCTACAGACTGAAGCTCTGATATGAGCAGCCATGGGGCAGGCTTCCTTCCTCCAGCCAACAGGCCTAAACCTGACCTGGAGGGATGATTTCTGGTAGGGACCAGAACTACTCTAACCTACATGCCTAGTCAAGCACTGGTCTCTCTTTCCAGGCTGCTGACCAGCGTTCCCTGTAAGCTGAACACTTGAGCAGCTGCCCAGGAGAGATTCAGGTGCCGCCCAGCTGATTGGCAGAGTGCCCACAGCCAGCAGCATGTGTTTTCAATTGGTGGTGCACATCTGTACATGTCTTGGTGCATGTAACAAAGTGTATTCTACACATGGATGGGAAAAAAATTAGAGGGAACATTGCTACTGACACCCGGGCTGGTGAATGCCAGGAGCAGGAGGCCATTGGCTGAGAAGCGTGTGCATTGATTCATTCTCGGTACCATCAGGGTAACATCAGCTGGCCTGCAAGGGCAGTAAGCCAGCTCTGAACTTAGCCATGCTGCAGGTTGCTTATTGATCTGGTTGTCTAGAGGTGGAGAGAAACCTGCTCTACCAGGAGGGAGCAGCCCTCCCTGCACATGAGCAGAGAAGCAAATTCACCTGAGCAGGTCCTCTTGTCTTCATGGAGGACATAGCCAATGCTGCAGCTGCAGTAGAAGCCTCCCAAGTAATTATGACAGTGATGGTCACAAAGCGGTTCGCCGTCAATCAGCTGCTTGCACTCGTCAACATCTAGCGGGTTGAAACACAGCAGCATTAACTGACTGCACAGGGGTGGTGGAGGTTCTTTGTGCAGGAGAGAGATGGGAACAATGGAAGCAGGGGAAGGAGAGAGCAGGGACATGTTTTTGGAACCTGACTCAATACCCGTATAACATTCTGTGTGTGTCTGTCTGTGACTCTGTGTGTCCTTCTGTCCTTGGCATTCCATGTTAAACCTAAGGGGTGGGGATTTCAGAGGAGGCTAAGCCAGGCAGGAGCACAGTTCCCACTGGAAGTGAACGAGTCTGGTGCTCGTGAATCACTGGGGCTTTTGAAACACACTTCTTCCCCGGCTCCCTCCCCTTAGATTGTACCATTGGAAGACTCCCTGCTATAAGGCACCATCTACAGTTTAAAACCTGACACTATTTGACCGCTCATAAAGGGGAGCACAGAGGATTCTGCCTTCCCCGCCTGGCAGCAGTTCCGCCTGGCTGGCTGTAACAATGCCATCTTGCACAGGGATTACAGATGCTAGCTCTGCCTAGGGATGTAAAGGAGTAGTCGACTATACGATTAACCAATAAGCCTAGGCTTATCAGTTAATCTAATCGACTACTTGCATTTCCCTTCCCCCTTGCTTCTTCTGTATCAGAGGCAGCAAGGAGGGGGAGAAGCAGGAGCTTGTGCTTAAAAGCCAGTTCCCCCCTGCACCAGCTCCACAGTGCACCTGGCCGCCGCCCCCCCCCCACGCTGCTGCCTCTATCAGCCCATGAAGGGCCCAGGCTCACCGCAGACAGAGGCTGTTCCATAGGAGGCGGAGCAGCCTGTCCACAAGGAGCTCAGACCCCCGGCGGACAGGGGCTGCTGCTACCCTGCGCTGCTACCCCAGCAGTGTGGGGCAGGAGACAGCCGGTCTCCACGGGGAGCTGGTTTTTAAAACTGGCTCCCCTTGCAGACTGGCTTCCACCTGGCACCCCACGCTGCTGCCTCTGATGCAGCGGCAGCAGTATGGAGTGGCAGGGGGGTTCCCAAGAGTGAGGCCAGGAGCGCACTGGCTGCCAGCCCCGTCCCTGGGGACTATAGAAAAGTCGACTAACTGCTAAGAATTCATGCGGTTACTTGACTATTCTATTACCCGCTGTTCTAACAAGCCTAGCTCTGCACTCTGTTTTCACACGGATTCCCGTCATACTCCATTGTCCTAGGAAGAATCCAGCTCCTAACGCTTTGCTCTCCTGGTGCTCTCTCAAGAGGTTTACAGGTGTTAATTAACCATCGCAGAAACCCTGTGTGGTAAATTAGAGTCTTCCCGCTTTGCTCCTGGGGGAGGAGGAGATTCACAGATGGGAAGAGACTTTCCCAAGGTCACATAATGAGACAGTGGCAGAGTCTAGGATAGAACTCAGATGTCCTGAGTCGGGGTCACTCACTCAAGTCACGACCTGTACCAAATACAGTGGCTCTTGCCCCATTCCCTAGTAGCAGCAGGCAGTCTCCAGCCACCTGGGAAGTGCAGCCATCTCCTTTGGCCAGACCCTGGTGCTAGCAGCCAGAGTCTGCATGAGCCCAGGAGGGGTGCAGGCCCTCACATAGCTGGGCTGGGCGCTCACCTTCAGCTGCGTAGAAGGCCTCAAAGCCGGTGAACTGGTTCTCGTTGGAATAGTCAGAGCGGAATGTCACAGTGAGGGTGTTGTCAATGGAGTGGTACGTGGTGTTGCCCGGAGCCTCCTCCGTGTCCGTACTCTCGCGTCCACACAGCGTGGCCACCAGCTTCCCGCCAGAGCTGATCTGCGCAGGGGGTGGGGGGAGTCAGTCACATCTACACTCAGCTCCGACCTCTGCTTCTCCCCCCCCTCCCTTCTCCCAGGGCATGGAGTTCATCCTGCAATCCCAAAATAAGGGAGACCAGGAGCAGGATCCACCATGACAGGCATTAGCAAGAGCAGCTTCGACTCGTGGCTTGGGGTCCACAGGACCTGCCAGGTAGGCTGCATGGGGACCCAATGAATCAGCATATCCACCATGTGCCCTGGCCACCTGCTCAGCACTGCGCTGGCAGAGCTGAGGGTGCCCTGCTCCTGGCAGGCTTTCCACAACCAGGAGGGAGGGGGGTTAGCGACTGCAGCACTCTCAGAGGCACGTTTGTGATGAAGCCCAGCTCCATCTGAATTCCCTTCTACAATCCCGCATGTCAGATTCCCCAGTGGGTAGTGATTGCCCCATGCTCACTCCCCTCTATCCTTGACTGGAAAGTTCATTGCCTGAACCCTCCCTCCACCCCAACAAAGCCACAAGACCAGCTTGGGCCACCAGCATGGGATCTTGTTTGCAGTGGGGCTTGTTCCTCTTTGCTTTTTCCTGTTGACCCAAAGTCAGACTCCTGGCGATATGTGGGAGTGATCGTCTGGGCTATGGCCAGTCCCCAGCCGGAGCAGGGATCGGGGTAAACACAGGTTAAACACACACACTGCTTTACATTTCCAGTAAAGCCCCACTGAGCTGGGTCTCCCAGTTCCCACATGCTCTCTGGTGCAATGTTTTCTTACCGGGAATCACTGAATTCCCCAAGTTCCCCTGAATGTTTGGATGTCACCAGGCCACTTTTGATAATTGGGGTTTGTACTGAACCTGGGGGGGGATGAGCGCAGGTAAATTACAGCAGTGGATAAGAGACTGAGCACTCGGTCTGGCAGGGGGAAGCCTCAGAGAAGACCGTGGTGAAACATACCATGGCCTTAAGGAACATTTCACTGGAGTAAATGAGGGGATTAAGATTTTAGTTTAGATGCCTGATCTGGTTCCTGCATGTGCCCAGCGGATACAACTCCCCAGCCACACGCTGACCTACATGTATGCCCCAGCTAACACCAATATCAAACAGGGCTAGACAAGCTGCTGTGCTGAGATAGCTGTCTTGTGCTCCCCTCTTCCCCTATTCCTTTGGGCACTCATCACATGCTACCCTTGAAATTCTCCAGGCACAAGCATATGTATATGTACAGCACCTAGCAGAATGGGCCCCAATCCTCATATCAGGGCCTTTAGGCACTACTGTCATAAAAATGATATGCAGGCATAACAGGTTCTGGCCAACCTCTAAAATCTCCCAAGCAGGCAGGCTTTGAGTTGGCTCCAGAAGCGTCTCTTTCAGGCTCTCTCACACTTCCCCCAATTAGACCAGTAGCCCCTTTCTTTTCACAAGCTTTGCCCCATGAAACATGAACATCCTGATGCTGCTGTTTGGGCCAAGTCTCACTTTTGACCTAGGTCCCATCAGCCTAGCTCTCGTGGGATGCAAGTATTTTGCAAAGCTGCTCAAACAGTTGTGGTCGGGACAAAAAAATGGTGATTCAGGAAAATTGAAGAGCATCACAGGGACGTATCATTTTGTCACTACTGTCCATGAGAAATGACTGAAGGACTTCACTTTAACAAGACTGAAGTGTTTTGCTTCTATTAGATGGCTTAAAAGATAACAGATAACTCTTACAACAGTAGAAGTAATGCACTTGTGAGCTTGTTTCAGTATTTCCAAAATGGACTTTCAGCCATAGCATTGTGAGAGAAATTTTGATTTGTGTCCACGTGGTCTGAAAGGAAGTTTCCATGTATCCAATATGCCCAGGGAGCAGATTCTGCATTTTGACCAGCTCTAGTTTTTTTTCCCCAACATGGCTGGGACTTCCTAATCCTGTGAAGGCATCACCTGCAAACCAGCTGAGCCCAAACCTTACAACACCTGCAGGGCAGATCTGGCCTGTGGCTTGCCTGAATCCAGACTGCCAGATGCAGGGCTCCCTTCCCTGCTGCAATGGGGCAAGCCGGTGCTGGCACACGACCCGTCTCACAAAGAGATCTGCCCATAAGATAAACCGATTCCTGCAACCCCAGCCCTCTGCCATTAGTTCTGGTTGTGCCATATGCTGGTATACACATTTCAATTCAAGCATGGACGGGGAAATGCAGCTCCAGTCGATGCAGACAGAACAAATCCAACTACCTTGATTAATGCACATGTCTCTACAGAAATGCACATGCAATTCCATGTTGTTAGTACAAACACCCCCCCCCCCCACCCATAGGTCTGCCATACAGCCAGCAGTCAACAGACACAAAGTTCTAGAATACACAGGCCTCATGCACACCCACGGACACCCTCTTTGCCCTGCGGCTCTGCATACCTTGACGTAATCATAGTCACACTGGTAGGAAAGCTCCATGTTAAAGTGGGTGAAGTAAATCCGGATGGTGTATCCCGTGGGGACGCTGATATTCCAGGTTCTCTCCTTGTTGTTGGGGTACATGTTTGGGAAGTCGGGGGAAGTGATCCTCCCATACATCTTCTGCAGCTGGATGCTGCCACCCATTCCATGCCAAAGGGCCACTAAGAGCAGGTACAGCCTGCCCCAAACGGAACACAGACAGTCATGGCAGTGAACGTTAGCGCAGAGATCATGCTCCCTACACACCGAGGGCACTCGGGCATTAGTCAAGTTCTCTGTGCCTGATGATCCTCATTTTACACCTGGGTAAGTGCCCAGGGTGTCAGAGTGCAGCTGACACAAAACCCAGGGCAGGAGAACTGGGCTGCATTTCCTTGCATAAAAACAGGACAAAGAGCTAGTGAACCCCCCATGCCTGAGAAAAGTCTCCCTGGCAGCACTCACCTCATCCTTCCACTGTCTAACCAGAGCCTGCAGCAGCCTCTCCTGGAGCATATGCCTCCAGAGAGAGAGTTTGCTTTGCTGTGTTTGTCCAGCGCTTAACTCTGATGCTTATCTCCCTTTCCTCCCCCTTCAGCCGGCTGAGTTCTGGGAACAGCAGTGACAGCAGAGCGGGCCTGTGCCCAATGCACAGGGCCCAAGTCAATCCTGGCTCAAAGTGCAAAGCGGAGCTGAAAGTGCAGCTGGATTCTGAATGTTTCAGCCCCCACCTCTCTGGAGGGATGAGCAATGGGGCTGGGATTTTGGGAGAGGACGGGTGGGGGTGGGGGTGGGGGCAGGTACAGGGTAGCTCAAGATTGTGCGCGCTAGGGCGTGGTCCGGGAGTTTGGAAACATCATCTCCCTCTTGCCAGCTGTTCTATTACCCAATACATTACTAGAAGCCTGCTCTCCTGCACAGCCTTAGCCAACAGAGCCAAGAAGAAAACGGATGGGAACCCAGCTCCCTTGGCTGATCCATTTTATCAGCAGCTTTCAGGAAGGAAGGTCACAGATCCACCCAGAAGATTGTAAGAGTACCGGCCAGGAGGTACTCGGGTACTATGGTGCTGAAGGCTGTTCAAGTACCAGGGTATGCAGACAGATGGGTGGGGGTTAATTAATGGGACACAGAGCCTTTAAGCTCTCAGATGCTGGTTCTAATCCAGCCCACATCTCTTGAGGCTGAAAGTTGTTCTGTGCCTTAGGTGCACATCCAGCCGTTGCCATTTTGCCAGGCATGCTGGAGCACTTGGCTGATAGGGTTAAAAATCCAGTTCTGGAATTATGCCCCACTGCCCCATGCAGCGTGCCATACCAAGCAGCAGGAGGAGAGGAGGAGTAAGAGGAAATATGGAGAACTGGCCATGCAGAGAGGCAGGGGAGGCAGGGAGGCTATGTATGGCAGGAGCTGTATGGGAGAAACTCCCTGCCATCAGCACACTTATGCAGGAAGCGGTATGGTGGGGAAGCGGCAGAGTAGGGGAACAAAGGGAGTCCTCCCCCTTCTCCAGCATTACCACTAGAGTTGTGGCAAATTGCATGGAGAAGAGAGCACCAAATGGGACCCTGCATTTAATACAGATGATGCCGTTTCCCCACTTCACAGATGGGAGAACAGAGGCCCAGGAGAGGAAAGTGACTTGACAGAGGCTGCATGGGCAGTCGGAGGCAGAATTGAAAACAGCTTGGATCCCCCAACCTCTCTGCCATGCGCCTTAAGCGTTAGCTGTCCTTCTGCTCCAGAAGGGAAACTTATAAAATAAGCCAAGGGCTGTTATTGTACTAGTCCTGGAGTGACCACGACTGCAGACCCTGGATCTTCCGAGACCGCGTAAGCTCTGCCAGGAGCAGGTATGTGGGCAATGCTGTTGAGAAACTGATGCCGCAGTCCAGACAGCTCAATGGCAACAGAAGTGACTCTAGAGAAGGAGCAGTGGAGAGTGGGAGGGTGGCCACTGGGAGGAGCACCAGGATGGGGGGGGCTGGACCCAGAAGCCTGATCCAGCAGCATCACCTATTCTATTTCTTCTCCCTCCCATCCAGGTCTCTGCCAAGCTCACTGGCGCCGAGGGGAAACCCCAGCCCATGTATGGGGAAAGCCCACTGAACCAAATGGGTGAGGGCTGCTAGTGCACATCAGTGTAGCTCTGTCCATGTCTCACCAATAGAGGATCCAGCCTGCAGGTCATACCCTGGTTCCCCTGGAAGTTGACTCACACTGAAGTCCCTGGCACAAGGATTTGGGCCATTAACTCCCATCACAGGGACAGATTCTGCAACCATTCGGGCCAGTTGTGAATCGGGGTCCTCCTCCTCCTCGGTTTGATTTCTTTTTTTAAGTTAAAGGTTTTCTAGAAACACCTCTCCCCCCGCAGCTGCCCTGCATACAGGCCACAGCAGACAAGCACCAGAGGAGAGCGAGCGAGGCACATACACATTGTGCAGACACCATCTCTCGCCCGCACCCATCACCCAGAAGGGAAGGAGACCAAGGAAGCCAGCACACCGAGAACCACAGGCTCCTGTGTGTGAGCAGAGTGGAGCTGTGCCAGGATATCCTACTGCCCTCCTACCACACCCAGCACTCCTGCTCCCAGGGGTCTGCCTCTCTAGCCAGTCACTTGCAGCCTGCCAGGGCATTTTCCACAGAGAAAAACTGAAGTCAGTGAGTGCTGGTCTACACTAGGGAGTTATTCTGAAAAAAGTGGAGGGGCTACACTACGTAGCCCGTTATTTCAAAATAAGGGGCTGATTATTTCAAAATCTGCACTCCTGCTTTCCTCGGAGAATGATGCTTATTTTGAAATCGCGGGAGTGTGGACGCCGCACTGCTGCTATTTCTAAATGACTACTCCCCAGAGTAATTTGAAGTAATTACTCCCCAGTGCTTCCTGGGGCTCTAAGTCAAGGTAGCACATCCACAATAACAGAGTCTGCTTCAAACTAATTTCGAGGCTCCCTTGTAGTGGGGACACACTGTTTTGATTTTTGTTATTTCGGGAGTTATTATTTTGAATTTAGTTATTTTGAAATAATTTCCTAGTGTAAACATGTCCTGAGGGACCTCTGCCAAACTGCATCCAGAGAACAGTTTCACAGAGGGGAGGGGGCAGCCAACAGTAACCCATGCAACAGCAGCAGTAAATGAGGTTAATGGGCAGGAGCTAGAAAGGACTAGACGCTTTCAGGGCCCGCTGATTGTTAAACAGCCCCCACTGAGCCCTGACAGGTCATGGACTTTACACAGGCCACAGATGAGAAAAAAACATTGGGAAATCAATAAGGGCCAAGAGGAATACTGGTGGCTTGCTTGGCAATGTCACTGCTTGTGATTTCAGCCATGCTTGTGTCTAGGTATTGAGGTGTGTGTGTGTGTGTGTGTGTGTGTGTGTGTGTGTGTGTGTGTGTGTGTGTGTACGTACACACGTACACAGCTGTCAGGGCATTGCTTGTGTGTAAAGAGAGTCTATGTGTACCTATATGTACAGTCATCAAGCGACTGTTCATGTGGTAAGAGTGTATATGTCTGTGTCCTGATCAGGCAACTGTTTGTATGTCTGTGAATTAAGCAATCAGACCCCAGAGTGCAAACATGCTTCGGTTAACCTCCATGTTCCATTGCCAGTATTTCTCCTGCCCGCAATGTGCGGTCTCTGTGATTGGACGTGAATTATTTTATTGTCATTCAGCTCCAAGCTGTCTCCCTGCAACTGCAGGCTGCTCATCTCCTTTGTATTCCCGCAATGCCACTAAGCCCCAGCCACAGACTTGGGATGTTAAATAGTGGGTAACTGAGTAACAGTGTAATTGTTGAGGTTATATGCACCTGCAGCATGGAGTGGCAGCCAGCTCCCCAAGTGCTGGTGCACAAGGCTCGGCCATCTCCCATCTGCTGGCCCTGCTCCCAGGAGTCAGCTGGCGCCCCCTGCCTCTGATACAGATCCCAGAGCATGGAGCCCACCCCTACATCCCTACCCCAGACCCAAAACCCCACTGTGCTAGGCACTGCACAAACACAGCAACGGTCCCTGCTCTTGCACGTTTTAGTGGCTTTGGGTCCCAAGCTGCAGGGATAGGTCCCAGAATGAAAGTATCCACTATAAGATGGCTCTGAAAACTCTCCAGAGAGGCGAGAATCTGACCAAACTCTTCCATGCTGTCAGCCCCGGGCCCTCCTGTCTGATGCTTGGATTCTGGTCTAACCTTTCCTAGAGCTGGCCCTCGGCTGCACATCAGAACATGGAAGCTGACCCAGCAAGAGACCATGAAAAGGGCTGAATTCTTGGTGCAAATACCAGGCCCCCACCTCTTTGGCCTTTGGAGAAGCAAGGCTGCTGGCTGGAACCGGGCGAGGGGGTGGAGCACCTTTTAGAACTAAGTCCCTGGGATGAAATCCTGGCCCTGTTTTGCCTATTTCCTTGCAAAGAGCCCTTCCCGTTTCAGCATGTCTTACCGCATCAGCCAGCCATTTGCAGCCCTAGCTCACCTGCATGGTGCTGACTAACTGCAGGCCCTACAATGTGACTCCTAATACCCCCCCTCCTCCTCCTCCTCCACCCCGCCCCAAGCAAGCCTGAAGGCAGGGGGCTCCCATCCCATGCCCCCCTGAGAGGCAGCTATTTGCCAGTTGCCTAGTGACTGACGCACTTCAGAAAGGGTTGGGGTTATTGGATGTGACAGGAGCCCATTGTGAAATCTGCCCAGCTGTCTCCCTGCTCCCCAGCCTGTCCATGCTTGAGGGGCTGAGGGATCCCAGAGGGAAGCAGTGGCATCAGGGGGAAAGTAAGTCTGAAAGGTTCAGGGAAGGGGCTCTGTGACTCCATGGTCACGAGATCCCCTCCCCCTCCCTGTGGGGACTGCAGTCAGTCAGTCAACCAGCTTCCCCCGATCCTCCCTATGCTTGCTTTCCTGCTCCCCTTACTTCCGGCTGCAGCACAGTCTGCCCAGGAAACGTCTCAGATCGCTCAGGGGCAGCAGCTCGGTGGTAGGCAGCTGAGCCTGCACGTCAGTCAGTGTGAGCAGAGCTGTTCAGTCTGGGCCCAGCTAATGCCTGGGGCTTGTGGGCTGGGCTGTCTACCCGCCAAAGGTCCCATGTGGCGTTTCCCAGGGAGCAGGGATGAGAGGAGGGTGGTGCTGGAGGAAGGCAAATGGGAGACATGCCCAGAGGGCTGTAGGTTTGACTTGCTGAGTTCTCCATGTCCCCCAAGCTCTGCCCCCTGCTGATTTGGATGGCTCCTGCTTTCCTCAAATAGAAACCTCTCCTGCCACTTCCACAGCCTCTCCTCACCCCTCACTGGAGGAGGGAGACTTGGGGGCTCTGCTCACCGAACAGAGGGGAGCGCACCTGGAGGAGGAGCAGGAAGACGTCTGATGGAGCCACGAGACAAGAGGCACAGGGCGCGTGGCCATCAGGAACACAAGGGAGGAGTCAGAGGAGGTCGTGGGGCCTGATTTTACACTACTTAGACCTTAGGTCTCTTCCCGCACTGCAGGAGCGGGGATAACATCATAGATGGACCTGCTAAGGGGTCCCACCCCTCTCATTATCCGTGGCCCGTCCCTTAGACCATCACACCACAGTCTGTAGAAACCCAGGCTACGTTTATCCAAAGCAACTAGTGATCTCAGAAGCCCAGCTGGCGCCCCCTTAAAAGAGCTGGATTTTCAGAGAACAAATGCTCTTTCAAGGGTCTCTAGCTTCACACCGCAAAAATCGCTAGTTACTTTTAAAAAGCCGTGGCCTGCACATCCAACATACCAAGTAGGTCCCGCTCAGCCTGGTGACCAACAGTACAGCCTGCAATTGTGACTTATGCTTGCAGCAAACACACAGTGAAATTAAATAAAAACATAAAATACTCTTGCAGGAAGTCTGCAACTGACCAATATTATAAAAATTCTTCAGATCCACAACGCCAACACGCCGTAACCAAAACCAGAGAGAGCAAGAAAGCAGGCTGCTCCCTAACGCAGAGAGTCACAACTCACCCCACACTTAAGTCCTTGCTTGCAATTCCAACACAGTCCTCAGCACACCACAGCGGCCCATACCCCGACCCCTATGCTCCAGCCTCTGCAGAAACGGTCAACAAGACAGCACGATGGTGGCTGGAGACTCGCCCAGACAGTGACCACAGAAAGCGAAGGGTGTGAGATGGCAGTCACGTTGCTGAGAGCACTCTGGAAGGCACTCAGATACAGCCATGTGCGTGGCACAAGAACCCAGACAGAAAAGAATCTCGTGCTCCTTTGGCCTGCCTGTCTGTCTCCCCCACACCCCGTTTCTGTTCACCTGTCTCTCAAAGGAGGCAATCACTCACATGGCCCCATGCCCTGGGTAGCTATGCTGTGTCTGCCACGTTGGCGCCGAGCTGGCCACTGCAGTGGAGCAGCTGTTTTTCTTTCTGCAGAGAGCGTTTGGTTCGAGTTCAGATAAAAGCAGGAGCCAGGCCTATGTTGTAATCCTCTGTCCTCTGCTGTCCTCTCTCAGATTAGAAGAGATACGCACTTTACAAGCACAAACAGGCTGTTTCCTAGATAATTATGGCACAAAGCAAGGGGTAGGAACTAAGGAAAAGTTCATGTTATTCATACTTCCAGGACAAAAATCCTAGAAGAGTAAAGGAAACGTGGTTAATTAAGGGGGGGCAAGACACAGGTCCAGAGCAGAAGAACTGAAGACTAGCAAAGACCGACCCCAGAAGAGGGGATGCAACAGTGAGTCCTCTCCACGCCAGCCTCGTTTGGATCAGCACTCTGGCACCGTTACAAGGTCGTTGCTGTCTTGGCCAACAAGCAACCTGACCAAGCCAAATCCTTCTTAGCATCTGCTGCTCCTGGAACAGACTCCTGGAACCGGGAGCATCTCCCTCTGCAACAATGCTTTGGGTTTTTACCCCTTCCATGACTGGGTGGGCTGGAAGGTGGCCTGCTTGCTAAGAGATGTCCCCCTGCAGCATGGTTAAACCTCCAGTGGAAGGCCCCTCACTCCTGTAGAACAGCATCTCTCCCCATGTAGGCTGGTGTCTGGGGGATAACAGAGGAACAACTTTGCAACAGAACTCAAATCCCTCCCCATCCAGTCCTTCTAAGATGAGGCTCGATTCCTATCCATATTAGGGATGTTAAGTGGTTAACTGGTCAGCACGCCGGTAAGCATGAGGCTTACCAGTAGGCTTAACAGTTAACTGGCCCTTGCTGGTGAACACCGGCAGTGGCAAGGCAAGTGGGCTGGAGCAGCCCTGGATGCAGAGGGGCCAGCACTGGCAGGCCAGAAGGGCCACAAAGCTACAGTGGGACCAGCAGTGGGACCCCCTGGGCTGTGGCAGAGTGAATGGTTAACCAGTTAACTGTTTTAACATCCCTGGTCCTTATGAACCATAATTCCTCTCCACCTGCAGCCCCATCCTCTTCCCAACCAAGGCTCTGCAGAATGCAAGCCACCCTCTAACTTACAGGTGCAAGTTGCTCTTGGGCAGACACACCTGTATTTCTGATCTCTGTCGCATCTTGCCAGTTGAAAACACAGCAAGGGGACCTGGCAACCATCAAGAACGTGAGTCAGCCTGGGAATTTGGCTGCGGATCTCCAGCTCCTTCCACTTCCATCCTTCTTCCTGATCCTTTAAACCTCATTACTTTCCATGGAAGGAGAGAAGTGAACGCTCTGCAAACAACCTTCTTCCCCTCCCACATTAATCGATGGTTCAATGCAGATCAGAGGGAAATGCAGAATGAATCGGATTCTCTCCCCTATTCAGCAAGCTGCAACTCCTACCGAAGAGCTACCATGTCCCAACAACCTATTGACTTCCAGCCTGCACTTGACTTGCTTGCAACCTTATGCAGCCAAATGGCCTTCCTCACTATTCCTCTTCCTCCAGAATCAGAGAAACTTAGAACTGGAACAGACCCCGAGAGGTCATCAGGTCCATTCCCTTGCTCTCACAGCAGCACCAAGCACCATCTAGATCATCTCTGACAGGTGTTTGTCTAAGCTGTTCTAAAATTTCTCCAGTGATGGAGATCCACAACCTCCCTAGGCAATTTATTCCAGTGCTTAACAAAAACACTGAAGGGGCAGCCAGATGTGAATTGTGGACTTCTTGTTCTGCAGTCAAATGCTCTACCCTTGAACTAGATGCCCACCAGCCATAATCCTCTCTGCATTGTGCGAGAAAAGACTTGTTAGCCCACTGATGCAGAACAACTAACAGATCCAGCCTAAAGTGCTTCCCAAACTCAGATACTGTAATAAAGAGAGTTACAGAAAAGTCCAAAGGGTAGGGTCAGAGACACTAGAGTGGACAGATCTCCCTATGGCTGAAGTCTTTCCTGAACAGGTGTAGTTCTGTTCCTGCCGCAGAGAAAATGGACTGTAGATGGTACCACTACCTCTGACGGCATGAACCAAAAATCGGCAGCATTCCAGAATGGATTTATCTATCTGCAGCAAGGAGGGAAAACGCACTCCAACCCATTCCCAATGTGGGATATATTATGCTTCTTGGCAAATCCCAACAGAATCTTAGCAGTAGAGAGATTCAGCAGCTAAAAACCAACAGCCCCAAAATGGAGCTCAGCAGACTATAGAATGAAACAGAAGCATCTTGAATGAGAACAGGATTTGTATATTCAGGTATTCTTCACTACCTGCCCCAAACTGTTCAACCGCACAGAGTAACACTATGTAGGTGCTTCATTCCTCCTGAGAGATGGCTGCATTTCAGGGGTGGGAGAAGTAAGCCTGATAAATAGGGCTACGCTTTCAGATACAAGAACATAAGAATGACCATACTGGGTCAGACCAAAGGTCCATACATCCCAGTATCCTCTCTGCTGACAGTGGCCAATGCCAAATGCCCCGACAGGTAATGATCAAGTGATCTCTCTCCTGCCATCCATCTCCACCTTCTGACAAACAGAGGCTAGGAACACCATTCCTTACCCATCCTGGCTAATAGCCATTAATGGACTTAACCTCCATGAATTTATCTAGTTCTCTTTTAAACCCTATTATAGTCCTAGCCTTCACAACCTCCTCAAGCAAGGAGTTCCACAGGTTGACTATGCGCTGTGTGAAGAAGAACTTCCTTTTATTTGTTTTAAACCTGCTGCCCATTAATTTCATTTGGTGGCCCCTAGTTCTTATATTATGGAAACAAGTAAATAACTTTTCCTTATTCACTTTCTCCACACCACTCATGATTTTATAGACCTCGATCATATCCCCTAGTCTCCTCTTTTCCACTTTTGGGTGCACTTTTGCTTGCGTACACATTAGACTTCCATGCACAAAAGCGGATATGCATGTGGGATTGGCACATCCCCACACACATTTTCCTAGTGTAGTTGCCGTGGGGTGGCCTCATTTGAAAGCTGTCTTACAATTTGTTGGGCTAAATCCAGAAGTGCTAGGATACTTACTGAAAAATACTACTACACATTGTTGACTTACCGTGGAGTCTTTAAGTCCCTTAGTGTAAACAGAGAGGTCTGCTGGATGTAACACAGACATTCAAGCCATTCAATTCAGAATAGGACATGGAGTCAGGTAGTTTCACTAGGAGTACTTTGGGATAGATTCTATCTTCCAAGCACTGGTGCTGGCAGTATAAGGCAGTCATGCCAGCCTAGACTGCTACAATGAAGACAAACCTTTCTGGAAGACAGAACAATTTGGCCTATTAGATAAGAGAGATTGGAGACGCAAACTTGGCTCCCGACAGCTGAGGCTTTTGACAGGGGCTGTCTCCAGCAATGCAAAACAGAAGGCATAATACCAAATTGCTCCCAAGCGCTGGTCCTGAATGACAGAGCACTGGAAGGGCATCATAACAGACTGATTCATCCAAGTCTTGGAGGCCTCTTGCTTACAGGCAGGACATTGAACATGTGGTAGGACAAAATTCAAAGTGTGATATCAACACCACGATAGCCAATACACGTTAGTTATAGTATGTACTATGTCAATAAATGTATTATAGATATGTTAAATGAATATATTATGAATTTTCCCCAATTCTGTTCACCCATATCAAATAATCTACAACACTCTGCAATGCTAAAGTCAACTTTGGCATTAGAAAATTGTATACCTGTCAAATACTGTGCCCCCAGGTACAAGCTTAGAAAGTGGCTTCATGCTGGTTAGTAGCTGGAATGCCAAGACCAAAAGAAAAGGTAAGAGGGGAACACGATGGTACTAAAAAAGCAAGCTGAAATTGGTAGGTGGAATCTTAGATGATGTATAGAGGGTCTTAGGTTGTGCATGTTGTTATAAATACAAAACAACGAATAGTCTAGCAGCACCTGAAAGACTAACAAAACATGTAGATGGTATCATGAGCTTTTGCGGGCACAACCCACTTCTTCAGATGACAGAAGTGGGTTGTGCCCACGAAAGCTCATGACACCATCTACATGTTTTGTTAGTCTTTCAGGTGCTGCTAGACTATTCGTTGTTTTTAAGTTTTTCCAGTTACAGACTAACTCAGCTACCCCTCTGAAGGTTATAAATACAAGTAGTCTTAAGGAGCACACCTTCAGCATAAGGTGACCTGAACACACTGCAAGGACCTGCTTCCAAGAAGCAGTGGTAATGTATTAGCTGTCTCTCTCCTGTACCATACTGTTGTGTCTATAAACGATAAATTGTCTCAAACATTTTAATGCGGCACTGCAAGTGAAGTCAAAATCAGCATGCAAATAGTAAAACAGTGGGCATCAGAATTCAGCTCTCTCCCTTTCTGGAGGAAGATTGCAGAGAAGGGTAGTTTTGAATGGTTCCTATCTACCAAATGATTGGGTCTAAATTAGCTATAACGACATAAGAGATATATCTTGAAGTCATTGCGGATAGTTCTCTAAAAACATCCACTCAATGTGCAGCAGCAGTCAAAAAAGCAAATAGAATGTAAGAAATCGTTAAAAAGGGGATAGAGAATAAGACAGAGAATATCTTATTGCCTCTGTACAAATCCATGGTGTGCCCACATCTTGAATACTGCATGCAGATGTGGTCGCCTCATCTAAAAAAAAATATCTTGGCATTGGAAAAGGTTCAGAAAAGGGCAACAAAAATGATTAGGGGTTTGCTACGGCTTCCATATGAAGAGAGATTAAAAAGACAGGGACTTTTCAGCTTATTAACGAGGAGAGTGGTGGGGATATGATAGAGGGCTATAAAATCATGACTGGTGTGGAGAAAGTGAATAAGGAAAAGTTATTTACTTGTTCCCATTACATAAGAATGA